GTCTGTTGAGGTCCCATCAAATGCACTTTGCTGAAATATCTGGCAAATATTGTGGGAACAGAAACACATGCTAACAAACGTTGTGGTAAGACACAATGCACACTATAGTACATTACATATATATACACACATGTACATGTAAAGAGAGTAGGATATGTCTTTTGGTCAGTAATTTATTGTGTCATTTATTGTACAGGAGAATGGAAAGACAAATACTTACCAATTAATGATAAAAGAAATGCCTAATTTGAAGAAGTAAGTATAGCATCAGCATCGTATACTTAAATTACTATCTCTGTCTCGCTCTCTTAATACAGTGAATTACACTTATTTTCATAATCAAGAAGCAGTGAGACCTTGTTTTATGTACATTCAATTATTCTATTTTGTATTTATTAGGATGTGTCAAGATGAACTCATACAATGAAACATTTTATATAATTTCTGTACTTGTTGGATGGGCTGAAGCATTCATAATGGTATGTGATACATACACGTATGTAATGTACATGTATTTGAGTGAATGGAACACTTTTTAATTCTAATGGAACTGAATTGTCACATGTCTATGTCACTGACTCACTGATTGAGTAGAGCACAAGTACATGTATACATGAATGCAGTTGACTAGTTACATCATTATGTTTCAAACCCATTACCGATGAGTACTGACAATTATTAATTGTGTTATAAGTTTGAATTACCATTACATTCACTCCCTCTTTTTGTCCTTTCTGTTTCTCTATCTTTTTAGTGTCTCCATATCTTGTTATGCCAAGCTTAGGACTGATGTCATCATTAATAAGTCTTAGATTCAAGCAAGTTCAAGTCGTATTTACCTCTTCATATTTGAGTGAAAAGACATCAAGATCACATTACAAACATTGTTCTTTTTTAATAAAAATAATTTTCATAAATTGTCTTACAAATGCAGCGAATGAACAGCAATATACGGCAGCGTATTATAATGCAAACACAATTAAAGTCCATATGAACTGATGGCAAATCATTCTACACATCTATCAATGCTATGCAGCAACAGAAATGTCAAAGCTGTCTATAGGGAAGATCATTTTGATCCAGGAAAAGAGAATTTTTACACATTGGCTCACTACAGAAGTTGGATTATAATGAAGAATTTTTTCAAGTGTGTTAGCAGTCTAAATCTGATTGTTGTTTGGCATCAATAGGTAGACATGCACAATTGCTTGTTATAAAAAATTAAAGTGCTAAAT